AAAACATTTATTTTTAGCTCAAGGAGATATTAAGGAGCCATTAAAAAATTTTTTTTGCTTCAGAGGGCTATTTAAACTTATCAGGGGACTCGAGCCCCTGCATCCCCCCCCCTAGCGACGCCACTGATCTTAACAAAGATTTTCAAAATATGCTGCAGATGCGTTAATCTTTACAGTTAAAAATTTGACAATAAATTTTATGGCGCCATTGCTAAAACTATATTAAAATGTTCAAATATTTTAAAAATACCGATAGACATTGATGTCTGGTTTGAGGATATTGTAATGCTCTCTATTTTTGATTTATAATGTAAAAAATATATTTATTTTTTGCGAAGGTATAAATAAAAAAATATGGAAAATTAAATATAAGGTTAATTATATATTATTTGAGATTTAAATAAAGGAACTAAACGATTACTGTCGTTATTGATATATTTATAATATTCCTGGCATGACATTATAAATTTGTTTAACCATTAGCTCGGCCTCTAATGTTGTTAAAGCAATCCGTTTTTCAGGCAGTCCTCACCAGGCTAAAAATGCTCTCGGATGAGGCATTAGAATGAGGTAAGGAGAAGACATACTTGCAATATTTTCCCAAGCATGGGGATTTATTGTTATTACGAAAATAGTCTACCCGTTTCTCCTCTGCTTTTAGACAATCTAACTTTAAGTATTCTGGCGAATCATAAAAAATAGAGAGAATTACTATCTCACCAAACAAGACATCAATGTCTTTCGGTATTTTTAATATATTTATTAAATTACAAAAACCATCAAGGTTTCTGTTCCAAGGTCATAATATTTATACATTTGTAAATAGAGTTATTAATATCAAATTTTGATTGTAAATATTCTAAAATTGTCTTAGTAAAAATATCTGCCTCATTTAAAAATGTATTAATTAGAGTATTATTTGAACATTTAATATTTTTAGCAATAGAGCCATAAAATTATTATCAATTTTTAACTGTAGAGATGAACAGAGCTATAGCATGATTTTGTTAATCTTTATTAATAAAGAATATTCTCATTGCAACTGAATATTAACTGCATGAAGTAGATTTCCTACATGTGAAACTAATCCCAAATATGCTTCTGCCATTTCATACTTGAAAAAATTTTTCAAAATTTTAGGACAGCTTTTAAAATCTTTATTTAAAATTTTTAATGGTTTGAAAAATTTTAAAATTCTATCGATGGCAGGTATTAACGATAAGCACCTACAACTCACACCATTCCAAGTCAGACCACTCCATCAACTCTTTTAATTCATTAACTCTTTTAATTGATGAATTAAATTCGTTAGGACATCTCATCATAATTATTTCGACATCCACAGATAGTACATTCATTGCCTTATTGCAAGAATCATGTAGTATTTGGCATATACAGTCAATTGGTATTAATTCATTATTGTGCTGCCTCAATTCGGTAAATACACTTTGGTTTTTGCCAAAATTCACAGAGGCATTATCAGCGCAGAAAGCTAACATGCAATTCATTGATAACCCTGAATCAGCTATATTTACATTATGTGGTTAGCTACATCGTTGGATTTTTCACTATCCGAGGAAAAAAATTTAACAGTTTTATTGAAATGTTCTTATCTATATTATAATTTTCCGATGTCCTCACTATGTCATTGTGACGTCATGTCATCGCTACGACATGTCATCGCTACGTCATGTCATCGCTACGTCATGTTATTGCTACGTATTTATTTATTTTTATTAATTTATTTATTTTTTATAAAAGCAAGACTCAAATAAAAAGCAACTATTATATCCTGGTAAATAATATTTATAATTTATAAAAATTATATTTATTTACTTTTTTTATAGGTGAAATATTTTGAGAAGAAAATCCAAGAAAGCAAGACTCAAATAAAAAGCAACTATAATCCTGGTAAATAATATTTTTAATTTATGATATCAAAAATTAAATATCATTCATTTATTAATTCAACCCATATTCAATTCTTTCAAGTAAATTAAATTATAAATGCTTATATTTTTTTTTACATTTAGAATACATCTTTAGCTTCTGATGATATTCCCACTCTTTCTAGAGAGTTGAACCTAATAATGATTCCTCTTCAGGTTTAATACATTAATATTTTTAAAATTATTCTTATGTTTTTGTTTTAGATAACAAGCCCTGTCTTAACTTCTCTTAATGATTGTACAGATGCTGATTAAGCAACTATTATCCTGGTAAATTATTATTTTTTATTTATTAAAATGAGTTTTTACAAGGGTTGATATCAAAAAATAAATATCATTCAATTTATTTATTTTGAGAAGAAAAGCAAAGTAAGGGTAAATAATATTTTTAATTTATAAAAATGAGTTTTTACAAATCAAACAATCATCATACACCATTAGTTTACAAAAAGTATAACATCAATAATTTAAATTTTCCCATTCCAGCTACACACATTCAAAATTATTATAAATATTTATGAAAATAGTTTCAAAACACAAAAGATTAACCCTACCTTTTTTTAAACAAAAGTGGTATAAAACAAGATGTGCCACCCTCCCCCCCCCATTTTCAATCTACTAATTAGTAACATCACAAATACCAGTACAAAATGTAGACTGGCTATACTACGCCGACAACATATATATAATTATTGAAGATGTCACTAACATTAATTATTATAACAATAGTCTTAAATAATATGTGAAAAATCAGCCTGATAAAAAATTTAAAAAAACTATTCTATCTTTCCTTCCCTTTTAATTTCTTTTATTATCTTCACCTTTCTCAAACTTTTTAATTTTCCTATTTCTTTCTCTTTAGCTTCCTTTCTATTTTAATTTCCCTATTTTCTTTCCATTTACAATGCTTAGTATGATATTTTTTATAATTTAAATAAATTTATATATCTATTTTAAGCATCCTGCGTATTTTTAAAGCTATCCATTTTGCCGGGCCGCACAATATGTCCTTTTATCTCTGATGAATATTTTGTCTAACTAACAGAAAAATATCCAAAGTACATTTTTAGCATTTAACTAAATTAATACATCAATTTTTAAGGATCCTACTCTTTTAAAAGCTTGCCTTATGTCAGATCCACAATTGCTCTATTCTCCATGCTGATTATTTTGTATAGCTCACCAAAAAATAAGTACATTATTTTTATTATAAATAATTTTATATAGGATTTTATATCTATCCAAAAAATCAATTTATATATTACAATATTTTTTTTATTCAATTAAAATTATATATTTATTCTTAAGGATCCTACCTTTTTAACAATATTCCTTTTTATTCTTACTAATTTTTTTGTATAACTCAATAAAAAAGACAAAACGGTGTTTTCTATCTTTAGGATTTTACATTTATTACAAAACAAAATACATACTATGGTATTTATATTATTTAAATTATTCTATATCTATTCACAAGGTTCCTATTTTCTCCGAATAGTATTTTATTTTAATCCTACCTTATAAAATTAACTTGAGAATTGTTTTGTTTTTACTTTATTTAACTATCCACATCTTATTTCCTCTATAATTGTTCAAATATTGATATATCAGTCAAACAAATGCAAAATAAACCTTTAGAAGAACATGATAGGCTTGATAAGTCCCCAAAAAAATTTTTTTGATTATAGCCCCCAACTACTAGAAATATACTTCTAATATTGACTCCTCTACAGGTTTACAGTATATTAATGTTTGTTTAATTTCAACAATTTATATTTGTGGCTGATTTCTTTATTTGTCTAGGCTAACCCAATTTTAATCCCTCACATTGTTACAAAACATAATGAATCTATTATTAAAGATAAGCAAAGAAAAAAATGGCGATTCAACAAACGCCTTACCCGTTCTAGAGTTACTGGTGGCCAAGAAAATAAGGAACTGTGAACTCCTCTTGAGGTTTATTTTGTTTTTTATCTAATGTTTTATATCTATATGTTTATTTTATATTCACCCAGTTGCCTCCAAATGATATTTCTATCACCACTACCACATTCCCTATGCTACCTCTGCCTAATTTTTTAACAAATATAAGCATTTAATTCCATTATCATTCACCTCACTTGGAGTTAATATAAATAATACTTTATCCGATTCCCTGAGGAATTTTCATGATTAATTAGAGGGATGATCAAACGTGAATGCGTAGTGCGGCCAATTTTATTAACATTATTAATGGGGAAATATGCGGTAGTTTTGTCATGGCCTTTATAACAATACTTACGACCGTTTTATCGTTGAGTTGACAATGTCGTTCATGATTTCATTTTAGAGGGAGATATCAAAACTGACACTTTGGCAGAAATATCATTTTGCGTTCTTCTTTCACCAGTAGCCCAAGGGCTCAGCTTTATCAGTATGCAATGGGTGTTGTACACTGCTTTGGTAATCCGTCATTATTCATTACTTTCACCTACAACCCTAAATGGGATGATATTATACATTATTTATTTCCTCTGCAGACGACTGCCCAGATTTATTTTGTCGCCTTTTCCATCAAAAGTTAAAATGTCATAAAGGATTTGCTCTTAATTTTATCAGACACACAAAATAATAATTAATCCTCATCATTTATTTAAAAAATTACCGAAATTTATATTCTCCAGAAATAAATTGAGGTCCATTATCTGATACGATTTGTCTAGGTGTTCCAAACCGTGCGAACTGTTATGTTCATCATTTTTTTTTATTTATTTATTTTTTTTTCTCGGAATTATCAATATTATTTTTGATTATCGATTTTTGAAATTTATCAATATTTTTCATGGAATTTATTTTTTCTCGGAATTATAAATATTATTTTTTTTGATTATCGATTTTTCAGAAAATTTATTATGATGTAAAAAAAAAAGAATTTGTAAAAAATATAATAAAAATATAAGACATAATAGAAATCGGAAAATATTATAATGGCGACTATGTATACGGAAGAACCCGCGCGGAAATATATATAAAAAAAAGAGAAAATTTAAATTTGATATAAAATTGTCTAAAATGCCAGCAGCAATTCTTGTTAAAGAAAACAATGACTCATTTACGACTTTTCGAATAAAACTAGAAGCCTACTTTATACTAAATGATATATCGGACAACGAGAAAAAGAGAGCAGCATTGATATCGGCATTATCAACCTATGACTTAAATAAGGTTATTTTAAAATTCGCTCCGAAGTCAATTAATAAAATAAAATACGACGATATGCTAGATTCGCTAATAGACAACGATAAAAAAATTGCACCATTGGAAAGTTTTCAATTTTATAAACGTACCCAAAGGGACGGGGACGCCAATTTAGAATTTCTAAATTCACTAAAATCTTTGGCACTTAAATGCAACTTCAAAGAAAAATATGAAGAGAATTTAAAAATGCAAATAATTAATGGCTTAGAAAGCAAAGATATCACGACAAAGTTATTACTCGAAGAAGATATGGGTATAGAGGAAATTGAAAAACTCCTTCGAACCATGGACTTGATAGACGAAAAGGAAAAAACAAAAGGTATATTTTATCGTCAAGCCGGAAAGGAACAAGAGGAAGACAAAATAGAAAATAAGGAAATAAACTATATACAAGACAGTAAAAGGTATAATAGTAATAATAATAATAACAGAGTTCAGGAACGCTACAGTGACAATTATTATCTCCACCAAACGAGATTCGATAACAGATTTACTAGATATAATAATTATGACAACTCGAATTATGGAAGATATAATAACGTTAATCCGCGGTACAAATATGATAATGATAACAAATATTATAATAATGATAACAAATATAATAATAATGACAACAAATATAATAACAATGATAACTACCGACATAAAAACTGGTACGACAACAATAATTATTATCATAAAAATAAGTATCAATATTCTTACGATAAGACAAGGGGACATTACAACACCAACAATAATAACTTTAAATACAACGACAATCAATATTACAGTCAGACAAAAAAAACTTGCTTCAAATGCGGTAGCGATAAACATCTGATTAAATATTGCGATAGAGACAAAGAGGAAGATATATCGTATATATACTCGATGGATATCAAATCTTGTAAAGAAAAATTCAAAATCAATTTAAATATAGAAGGTAAGAAAACAAACATGATCCTAGATACAGGAGCATCATCAATCATTTCATTAAAGACATGGTATAAAATCAACTCCAATAAAACAATTCATGATTCGGACACAAAATTAAAGACGTACGAAGGTAACGAAATCGCCATCATAGGCAGCGTGGACGTAAAGTTCAAATAAAAGAAACCATAAAATATCTACCCTTAATAATAGTGAAAGCTGATGGACCCTCATTGGTAGGTATAAACTGGATAAAGGAATTCAGAGAATTGGTATGGAAAGAATCAATATTAACAGGAACAGAAAACATATACGATAATAATAACAAAATATATTATGTGGAACAAGAATTAAAAGCCCTAACGGAGAAGTACGTAACAATATTCGATAAAAAATTCCGGGAAAAAGCACCCCACTCAAAAAAATTACCAGATTTCATGCCTTGTCATATGACTTCCATTATCTATTCTGTAAATTCTTACAGTTTAGCACTTGTATCAAATATCGAGAAAAAAGAGCAAGTCCCGTCAAAACGAAAGATATGTTCTAAGTATTTTTTAAAGGATAAATTATACGTTAAAACCACTAAAATTATACATGAGTGTAATAAAATTGATGTAATACCCAAGTCTCCAACTAGACATTATCAAGATATAAAAAATATTTTAAAAGATAAAAATAGTGAAAAAATCAAATTAAATAATGACAATATAAAAGTGAAAAATATTTGAAAGGACAAAAATAAGGGAAAATATTCACCCAAAATCAAAAAATACAAATTCGATATATGTAAATTAAAAATATTTCAATATAACATCTGGGACGACGATGTATCAGCACCTCCGATAAAATTAGGAGAAATTGGCAACAAAAAGATTAAGAGACTCACGATCAGAATAATTCAACAAATAGAGCTACCAAAGAGGGAACAATTTACGAGTTCCAACAAGACTAAATTCACATCCAAGATCTTCAACTTCGACTTCGGAAGGGGAAGGAAATGGAAGCAGGATACGAAAATGAAAATAAAAAAAAATACTAAACGAATTCTTATTAGCTTATAGAAACACCCAGCATACGACTACAGGAGAAACCCCAGCACAGATGATGTTCGGACGGAATGATCGGAATCATCTTGAAATGATTAAAGAGACCACCCAAGAAAGCCGATCAAACGATACACAAACGGAACAGAGAGGTCAATTTAGGATAGGACAACCGGTGTGGGCCAAAATGTACAACGACAAGGTAAAATGGATAAAAGGAACAATAGTGGCTTGTGCTGGGAGGTGCATATACGTTGTGGATACCTCCAAGGGCCGATGGAGAAGACACCAAGATCAAATGCGGAAGAGAACAGACATTCTCTAAGAGGAGAGATGTTATGTTCATCATTTTTTTAAATTTATTTTTATTTTTTCTCGGAATTATCAATATTATTTTTGATTATCGATTTTTGAAATTTATCAATATTTTTCATGGAATTTATTTTTTCTCGGAATTATAAATATTATTTTTTTTGATTATGGATTTTTCAGAAAATTTATTATGATGTAAAAAAAAAAGAATTTGAAAAAAATATAATAAAAATATAAGACATAATAGAAATCGGAAAATTACGAACGATTTCCTTAAAACCCTGATCATTGTCGTGGACGTGGTCTCTCTCATTAACTCAACCTCAACCCATTTAGTATGTGCATCAACTCCAACTAACCATGAATACGAATCAATTGACCCCGCGAAATTCAAATGAATTCGTTCCCATGGTATATTAGATATGTTCCACGAATATAAAGGAACCTCCATAATATTCGAACGATTACTTTGACAAGGCATACATTGACGAACATATTGTTCAATATCTTTATCGCAATTCGACCACCAGCAATACATTCTAAAAATTGATTTCATAGCATTTATTCCTGGATGCCCTCTGTGTATAATCGTTAATATTGATTTCCTCAAAATGGTTGGAATTACCAACTTCCCATTCCATTCAATAACATCATGATCTACTGACAATTCCTCTCTACGATTATAAAAACAAACTAACTCTGTATTTTTTTTCGCATCAAAATCCGCCCATCCATTTTTAACTACTTTTTTAAACAAGCTATCATTCCTTGTTTCCTTTTGGAGTTCAACTTGACTAATATTTATATCGTGCAAATTTATAGCTCTAAATTTTAACGCGTTTTTTTAATCATTATTTGATTTTATGCCACCTATTGGCAGTCTAGATAATGTATCAGCTACTTTATTTTCTTTTCCAGGAACATATTCAATATCAAAATCATATGCGGACATTTTCCAAGCCCAGCGCGTTAATCGATTATTGGATATTTTTGGTAGTTCCCGTTTATCACCAAATAATTTTTCCAAAGGTTTGTGATCTGTTCGTAATAAAAATTTTCGACCAAAAATGAATGTATGAAATTTTTCCATACCAAACAAAAGTGCTCGTGCCTCTTTTTCTATTAGTGCATAATTTTTCTCTGACTCTAGAAGTGTTCGCGAGGCAAATGCGGTTGGTCTGCTAATATCTTTTTTCACTAAATGACATAACACAGCTCCAAAACCAGTGTTGGAAGCGTCACATTCCAATATAATTGACAAGTTTGGCGAATATGGAATTAGCGTTTTATTTGTTGACAAAAGCTGTTTTATTTTATCAAATACCTCTTGTTCTTTGTCCGACCAACCCCAGCAAGATTTAATGCTTGTTAATTTATGCAGAGGAGCGGCAATACCATGTAGATGTGGCAAAAATCTCTCGTGATAATTCACAAGTCCTAAAAAAGATCGTAATTGGTTTATATTATTAGGAGTTGGTATCCTTCGAATAGCATCTATTTTTTCTTTCGCTGGATGTATTCCATATTTGTCTATTACGAAACCCAAAAAAGAAACTGATTCATTTAAAAAACGTATTTTGGCCCATTTTGCCTTCATACCCACCTGTTTTAGTTTCATTAGTACTTTTTTTACGTTATTCAAATGTTCTACATCATTTTTCCCCGTTATGATAATATCGTCAAGATATACTCCGGTCATTTGGCATCTCGTAATAAATTGTCCATATATCTTTGAAATATGGTCGGCACACTAGAAAGACCGAAAGGCATACATTGATATTGGAAATAACCAATGTGGGTCGATATGGTTAAGTATTCTTTTGAACTTTCTTTTATTGGTAATTGTAAATATGCATCTTTCAAATCTATTACCGTAAATTTCAATCCATCTTTTAATTTGGTTAAAAGATCATCCACCGTTGGTATAATATGATAATCGTACAAAATATATGGGTTTAATGTCACCTTAAAATCCGCACAAATCCTGATTTCTCCATTTGTTTTTCGTACGTTTACCGTTGGAGTGGCCCATGTCAACCGTTTTTGTGTTGGATCAATCGCCTTCAATATTCCTGATTTAACCAATCTATCGAGTTCCATTTCAATTGGTTTTCGTAATGGAAAAGGTACTCTACGAGCTGGCCATGATTTCGGCCTTGCTGCCTCACTCAAATTTATGCTAACTTCTATATCATTCACACGTCCAGGCTTGTCATCAAAAACACTGAAAAATTCTGTTGACATGCCAGCAATTTGTTTATTGGTTGTCATAACCTCTTTATTTGTGATACTACGTATAGTCACTTGTCGTGGAATAAACATATTAAATGCCAGTATCCATGGTAGTCCAAATAATGGAATGTCATTTGAACGGGTCACCACAATCGGTAGTGATCTGTTTATCTTTCCAAGACGAACCCTCACCATAGTTTCACCAAGCACATCTAGCGGTTGGTTACCATATTCTGATAAAGGTTTGGTTGGTCCAAGTTTGGGTCGGCCAATTTCATCCCAATCACCGATACCTGTGCCGCCGTATCATAGTCAAATTCTATAGGTACTCCATTTATCCAAACAAATATCTTTGCACTATATCTACCAATTTGGGAAATATTATTAATTGAATCTGATGAATCATTGTCATCTATATGCATAGCATGTAACTTCTGTCCCTTACAATATTTAGCATAATGCCCTACCTTTTGGCAATTATAACATTTCACCCTTGATGTAAAACATTGAAAAGGGGGATGAGTTCTTCCACATTTTGAGCATTTATTAAACTTATACATATCATTATTGTTATCTCTAAACTTAAAATTATTATTATTGTAATAACTAAAATTACCTTTTTCTTTGTTATTATTATTATATGAGTACTTTTGATTAGAAAAATTTTCTTGATTATTCTCTATCTGCTCCTTAGGTTTATTGACTTTTTTTACCATCATATTTGTCACTTCACCCTCAGCCCTTTCCATTGCCAAAGCCATATTTAAAACCTGTTGAAAACTCACCCTTTCTCCCAAGTCATTTATTCCATCTGGAAATCTAGTGCGAATATCTTTCTCCAATGCACCTATTTTGATTCCAGCCACCATCTGATCCCTCAATCTCCCATCTAGGTCAGATTCAAATTTAAATTCTTGAGCCAATTTTTTAAGTCGAGCTGCAAACTCCGCAACTGATTCACCAACCCCTCTTTCTATCCGAATAAATTTAATTCTCGAGCTAAATAATGTTGAAATAGGCTTTAAAACTTTCTTACCCAGTTCAATAATCTCTTCATAATTAAGATCTTTCAATATTTTTGGATAAACAAAGGACCCCATCTCTGCTAAATTACTAATACCCATATACGCAAATAATATATTTTTTTTGGTTTCATTATTTACTAATATACCTCTTATCTCCTACATATCATCAATATATTCAATGTAATCAGCAAAATTGTTTTGCTTGTCGAAGTTATCAAATTTGATCATAATGTTATCATTTTTTTCTTCTTTATTTATAATTACTTTATTTTTGTCTTCTTTGATCATAAGATCATCGACAACGTCGCCAATATACTAATTAGTCTTAAATAAGCATACACAATATGGATGGCTTTATTAACTGAAAATCACCTGATATTTACAACTGATATATATATTAATATGATTGATTTGTATGTATGACATTTATAACATTGATAATATATAATATAAATCTCATTTATAACAATTATCACTTTTGTTAAAAAAATAATACTCATTTCGTATAATATAGAATTTAAGCCATACTATTTATATTTAAAGCTTAATAACTATTGGCCCAGTAATGGTCCCAATCTAGGATTTTGTAAAAATATTAAGATATATAATGTCTATTTGTTAAAAAATTTTGAAAGAAAAAAAAGGCAATTTTTATTTTATAACCATTTCCGGTTTTTGGTAATAAAATTATTTTTAATATAATAAATTTTATATCATATTAAAGGGCTATTCTAGAGTTATTTAATAAAGTTTAAATTATACCTTTAGCTTAATCACTTTTTGAGATATTTAAAATTAAATATGGTGTATTTTGAACTTTTCACGTTTCTAAAGATGGCCATATCTCATGAAGTAAGCTGAGTTGAGAATTAAAATTTTATATTATTGCTAGTTAGTGTATATACTACCATCATGCAAATTTAAAAAAAAATCGAAGAGGGTCGGGTTGAATCTTCAGTTGTTTGATATGGAATACAACATATACTAATAGAATCTCAAAAAAATTAAAAGATTTGAGATCTGATGATTATATAAATAAGAAGTATAAATCCTATGATAAAAAATTTATTCAGGGATTTCCTATTAAGATAGGTAACTTATATATATATATACTAATAGAATCTCAAAAAAAATTAAAAGCTTTGAGGAGATCTGATGATTATATAAATAAGAAATATAAATCCTACGATAAAAAATTTATTCAGGGATTTTCTATTAAGATAGGTAACTTATATACTAATAGAATCTCAAAAAAATTAAAAGCTTTGAGGAAATCTGATGATTATATAAATAAGAAGTATAAACCCTATGATAAAAAATTTATTCAGGGATTTCCTATTAAGATAGGTAACTTATATATACTAATAGAATCTCAAAAAATTTAAAAGCTTTGAGGATATCTGATGATTATATAAATAGAAATATAAATCCTACGATAAAAAATTTATTCAGGGATTTCCTATTAAGATAGGTAACTTATATATACTAATAATCTTAAAAAAATTAAAAGATTTGAGAAAATCTGATGATTATATAAATAAGAAGTATAAATCCTACGAAAAAAAATTTATTCAGGAATTTCCTATTAAGATAGGTAACTTATATATATACTAATAGAATCTCAAAAAAATTAAAAGATTTAAGGAATCTGATGATTATATAAATAACCAACAATAAAAATTTTATTCAGGGATTTCCTATTAAGGGTAACTTATATAAACTAATAGGATCTTAAAAAATTAAAAGATTTGAGGAAATCTGATGATTATATAAATAATAAGTATATATTCTAAAAAAATAGTAATAATTTTTCTTAACTAAGATTATATCTTAATTTCAAATAAAAATTTATTTTAACTTTATTTTTAAACAAAGCAACTTGTCAAAGTATAATATTATTACAAAATACTTTTAAAGTAATAATTTTTCTTAACTTTATTGAATGTATGATATACCTTAATTTTATTTAAGATAATATTCAAAATAAAACTAAGATAATATTATCAGATAGATTAAGAAAATAACTAATGTACTATAATATATGGAAAACAAAAATTATAGCATGTCTTTTTTTAAAGATTTTATTGATATTCAGGAAAGCTATATATAGTTACAAATTTATACCCATTAATTTTAAATAAAATAAAGACAGGTTAGTATAAATTTGGAATTATATAATATGTTAATAAAAAATAATTTAACCAATCAGCCTAATATTTTAAAGGAATAAAATTTATAAGATATATCTTTTTTGTTAAATATAGTATGTTGTTATATTAGTATTGGAGAATATGTACAATATTTTCTATAAACTGAATGGAGTAGAGTGTTGAGAGGTCTATATTTAAGGGCAAGTTGATCTACTAAAATTTAATATTATAATAGAAAACAAAATATCATAATAATACATATCAGATTTGGTCTGGGTAGGATATGCCCTTTTGATGGATAATAGAATGTGCACCTTTATAAACTATATAAATATAATTAGAATAGCATAAAATATCTGTATGTCATATTTAATTATTAGTTTTAAAAAAATTGATTACCTTTACACTTCCTATTTATATAAACTCAAAGTATTATGATGGGTTGATTATTGAAAAATGGTATTTAGCTTGTGAATCCAATTTCACCTTTTCGTAAAGCGACAAAACATATAAATTAATCATAATTCGAGATAGGGACGATACGAAAATTGACATCCAAGCTAAATAGTAAATCAGAAAATGACGTGTCGGATAAAAATATGTCTATCTCATTTCCCTTTAAATATAAATCAATAGGAGAATTGAAAAATTCTCAACTGTCTTCTAAGGATATTGAAGGTAATTTTTTTTTTATAGTGTATAATTATATATATTATGAGCAGATAAATATACAGTTGAACAAGCTATAGAAATGTAGGGTTTTGGCATGTTTCAGATTAAACTCTCATTACTCACAGGATTAGCTTGGGTAATTAAAAACAATATATTTCAATATTCAAATTTTAGTATTTTAAAAGTAATCACCCACTTAAAAATAACAAAAAAAGTTAATTAATTTTTTTACTGGTGTTTTTTTGTTCTTTAAGATAAAATGATTAGAATTGGAAATTACAATTATAATGTAAAATTTACAACTTATTTAAACAGATGTATTTTTTATATGAGAAAATCATCACATAATAAATATAATGGAAGGTTATGTAATTTAATCGTGATTGTTTTTTTTTAAAAAGTTTATTTTATATTATGCATTCAGCAGTCTTATCATATCAATCTTAGACCAGTTGACCAGTCTGAACCATCTTTTAATTGTTTTTGAGGAGTTATTTAGTTTTTATGTTCTTTTCTCTTTTTAGTTCATTTTTATTTTGAAATACTATGAGTTTGCCATAAAGGTATTTTATTGTTAAATTAAATATTGTATTATCTAATATGTATATATATATAATCTCCATAATCATAATATAATTATTTTACTATCATTTTAAAGTATTAATTTAAAGTGATTATATAGCCCAATGATTATTTTTTGTTAACTACCAGTTTGGGACACCAGGATACCCCATAATAAATTCAAAGGCTTTACATAAAAGTCTTATATTATATTTTGGTTTGATAATCTTGGCATGATTTTTAGTTTTATCATCTCACTCAAAAAAGTGTATGCAGAAAAAAACTTTCAAAATATATTATTAAAACAATCCCTAATTATAGTACCAATATAATCAAGCTCAAACTATAACACCAATAGATTTGACATCTAATAAAGAAAATGATGATTATTTTTCTATTGGTGAAACAAATGTTGCTGAGTTTAATAATACAAACGGGAGGTTTTAAATTATATTCAGAAAGTGGAAATACATTATAAATGCGAAATTATTATCTTTCAATTAAGGAAATTTTTTATAATTCGAAATTATTATCTTTCAATTAAGGAAATTTTTTATAATTATAACACTGCAATACCTTCATCAGCTTTAATTGAAAGGCTATTTAGTTTTGGCACAATGTACGCCGATACAGGAAATGTCTAATGATCAATCATTTGAAAAATTCGATTATCTATTTTAAATACTCTGATTATTATAATTAACTCAGCATTAAATATTTTATTAAATATTGATTTTCTTATTATATGAGTATGTTCTTCACAATAAATAAAAAAAAGTGTATTTTATAAACTATTCTAATTTAATTGTTAATGAATTTAAAAGTAACCACTATTTAAGATACTCTAATTAAGAAAGTATCTTTTATATTTTATCTTTTTGATATTTTGAAAACGATACTAGTATCTGTATCTAAGATTTATTTTTTTCACAAAGAATCTGTATCAATATCTAGATTGTTTTTCCAGAGAACCTGCCCAACTCTGCTTATAATTAAATAACTTATTTTATTCGAGTATTGCATAGATTCCAATTTATTTACATTTGGATTAGCTCTAATGTTTTTTTAATCATCAGCTTTTAAAAATATAGTATTGTATAAAAATTAATATTATATCACATCATAATTTTAAATCCTTATGCCTGTCTTCTGAAATTTTTGTCATATGACATTTTTTCACCTGACAAATCAACGTGATATATGACAGATTGTTTATATTCTGGTATTAACGAAAAGGATCTGTATAATTTATTTAATATTGATGCTTATATAATTAAATATTCTTTCTCTATTATATATAGTAATTGAATATTTTATATATAATTAAATATTATTTTATATAAAATTAAATATTACTTTATATATAATTATTGAATATTTTATATATAATTAAATATTACTTTATATAAAATTAAATATTACTTTATATATAATTATTAAATATTTTATATATAATTAAATATTACTTTATATAAAATTAAATATTACTTTATATATAATTAATTATTTTTATATTAGTAGTTAAATATTGCATAAATTTACAAATTTGTTTTTAATTATATTAAATCTATCAACAAATTTTAAAATATATTTTACTTTTATTTATATTTAAACATTTATATTAGCAGTTAAATATTGTATAAATTATCATATAAATATTTTATTAATTTATTAAAATTGAATAATATGTTAAAAATGTCTTGTTTGTATTCACCATCTTTCTTTTTTATGTCGCGAATTCAGCTGTGGAAATATTTAGTCCCCGAACCTTCGAGATAGGGACGATACGAAAATTATGACATCCAAGCTAAATAGTAAATCAGAAAATGACGTGTCGGATAAAAATATGTCTATCTCATTTCCCTTTAAATATGAATCAATAGGAGAATTGAAAAATTCTCAACTGTCTTCTGAGGATATTGAGGGTAATTTTTTTTTTATAATGTATAATTATATATATTATGAGCAGATAAATATACAGTTGAACAAGCTATAGAAATGTTGGGTTTTGGCATGTTTCAGATTAAACTCTCATTACTCACAGGATTAGCTTGGGTAATTAAAAACAATATATTTCAATATTCAAATTTTAGTATTTTAAAAGTAATCACCCACTTAAAAATAACAAAAAAAGTTAATAAATTTTTTTACTGGTGTTTTTTGTTCTTTAAGATAAAATGATTAGAATTGGAAATTACAATTATAATGTAAAATTTACAACTTATTTAAACAGATGTATTTTTTATATGAGAAAATCATTACATAATAAATATACTGAAAGGTTATGTAATTTAATCGTGATTGTTTTTTTTTAAAAAAGTTTATTTTATATTATGCATTCAGCAGTCCTATCATATCAATCTTAGACCAGTTGACCAGTCTGAACCATCTTTAATTGTTTTTGAGGAGTTATTTAGTTTTTATGTTCTTTTCCCTTTTTAGTTCATTTTTATTTTGCAATACTATGAGTTTGCCATAAAGGTATTTTATTGTTAAATAAAATATTGTATTATCTAATATGTATATATAATCTCCATAATCATAATATAATTATTTTACTATCATTTTAAAGTATTAATTTAAAGTGATTATATAGCCCAATTATTATTTTTTGTTAACTACCAGTTTGGGACACCAGGATACCCCATAATAAATTCAAAGGCTTTACATAAAAGTCTTATATTATATTTTGGTTTGATAATCTTGGCATGATTTTTAGTTTTATCATCTCACTCAAAAAAGTGTATGCAGAACTTTATATTATTAAATTTTTTATATAAATATATAAATTAAGAGTTTCTCAATCAGCTATTTCAAGTAGTTTTTGAATTTTGTTCAGCAATTTAGAAGACTAGACACAGCATCATTTGCTATAATATTCACAAAATTTTTCAAAAAAAATATCTTCTGATTATTGAACAAGTTAACTTAACAATATGATAGCTCCTTATGTGTTACTGATGGAGAGTAAAATATATATTTAGTACTTACATTTTATTTGTAAATCTTATAAAATAAAACATTAGTTAGGTATATATTAATACTTTCAACAATGCAGATGTTAGTATTAATATAAAATCATAAAGATTTTATTCTTTGTGTAGCTATAAGCATGAACATGCATATTTTAGATAATAATTTATAAAATATTAACAGATAACCATAACCTTCTCCTTTATTTGATGATGGGCAAATAGAGATTTTCCTTTTAATGGATGATTCAGAAATTTTCCCATTATTTAAGGAGGTATGAATACATTATACCTATATTTTTTTGACAGATATTCAGATATTTTTTTTTATTTTTATAAGGTTTGTTATAAATATTTATTACCAGAACTAAGCATAAATTATTTAGAAGATATATGTAAATAAAATATGAATTTTATAATATCTTATGAAATTTCTTTACATACTCAATAAATATATTTTTACCTATCAATATGTATATTAATCATTTATTATCTAAAATATTGAAATGAACAGTAATGCTGGCTATTAGTAGCTCTGATATTCAGATAATGTGAGTAATTGTAGAAAAAAATAAGAATTATTAGATTTTAAATTTTTTTTTGTTGCCTCAGAAATCAGTGCAAAGTATATTCTTGCTGTCCTATATGGACAATTAATAGTCTCAAGAACTGGGCTATCCCTACTTATTTGGAGCATTTTACAGCCTAACATCTATCAACTTTTAATAGAGTGGTATTACGATATAATAAAGCAGTATACCAATGGTTGTTCTAGCTGTCCTCATAGACCTAAAATAGCGCAGAGAATATTACATATAGAAGACCATTAGATTCTTGTTATTAGTTAGTTGTAGTTGATTCTTATTCAAAGTGGGTGGAGATAGCTCGTTTGAAAATTACGATATTACAACAGCCGTCACAATAATAAGAAGATCGAAGGGGTGTTTAACAAATTTGGGGTAACAAAGAAAGTTATTTCGGACAACTGTTCTCAATTCATATCACAAGAGTTCCAGTTGCTTTGCTAATCAAAAAAATTATTAATAATCAAGTCAACATTATCAAGATGAATGACTAAGTTGAAAAACGATTCTTTCACTCATGGAGTTGCGCGAGATTATAAAACAGATTCTGAAAATGTTTTAATAAATGCCTTGGAGACATATCGTATGAGCGAACATGCTGATGAAAGTCACGGTCCAGTCTTTGGTCCGGACTGGACCGATACCCTTGAACCGGACCGGACTACGGTCCTTAATAAAAAAATCGATCCAGACCGTGGTCCTAAATAAAAAGACCGTTCCAGGACCGGTCTTTTTATTTATTTAAAAAACATATTTTTTTAACCTAATTTAATTTGTTTTATCATTTTATTAAATTTAAGAGTATTATATAAACAATATAAAATTAATTATGAATAATATAATAATTAATACAAATATTTAATTTAAATAAATGCTAATGTCTTTGTTTGTAGAACTGCCATGGAAGGAATTAGAAGAGGGACTTAATGGAGGAGGTAGATCTATTCCATTCTTTAACCAAGAGCCCATACACATCAAAGCTTTTTGTTTGAAAGCCTGTTCCTTTTTTAGTGACAAGATCTCCTGCTTTCGAAAATATTTGTTCACAGGGGACAGATGTTGCTTGAATTGCTAAAAAATTTCTATCTGCTAATGAGAGGACTAGAAATCTATATAATAAACTATCTTGAATATTTACAAAATATAAAAGACCTTTCACTATTGGCTTTCCACCATACTAATATGTCATCCTTTAATGAAACAAGAGGTTCATTCAAATAGGTGTGAATTCTGCAAAATATCCATGCTTTTTGTTATTGGCATTATCTGAAGTACTGGCCAGTATATTATCCTCCAATTGATATACATCAATTACTTCTTTTATAGCTAAGGATATTTCTTCAGAAGTATGAGGAAATGGGATATGATTTATATCAAATAAAATATTTTTTAATGTAAAAGAAGAATCAATATAGTGTGCAGTAATGGCTATGAATGAAATTTTATTTATACTGCTCCACATATCTGTGGTAAAGCTTATTAAAGAATTATTTTTATTTAAAATATCTTTTAAAGAATTTCTTAGTTTCTCAAAATTAGCTGTATAAAAATTTTTAACTTTGTTTTTAGACAAGATTGTAACAGTTGAGTTTAAATATTTGGTTAAATTATGAAGACCTGGACTTTCAAAAGTCTTCATTGGCAGACAGTAGTGTTGTTAAATGGCTCGTTTTGAGCCGATTTTTAAAAAGGGCTAACTCAATATTTCGTTAAGAAAAATATTATGCAAGCCTCAAGATTTTGCTCATAGAAGGAACAAAGGTCTAGGCATATATTATCGAAATCTCGAGACTTAGGCAATATTTTTCTGGCTAAAATATTGAGTTAGCCGTTTTAAAAAATCGGCTCAAAATGAGTCGTTTAACAACACTAGCAGACAGTCCATTATTACCCATTTTATTATTAATAGGTTCATATGTTCAGTTTGAAATTTATCCAATGGTATTGAAGAAAGTGATCTTGTGCTTGTGGAGGGCATATTAAAATTAAGAGTAGATTGTGTTTTTGAGATATTTTCATCATTAGAAGTATATATTTTATGTTTTATCAGATGTCTGCTTAAGGTACCTAATTATTTTATTAAGAATAAGGTTAAGTTATTTTGACAATGAATTATTCAGACAGTTTCTTAAGAAAAAATAGAACTATATAAATAATAACCAAAATATTTTAATAATAATACTGCTTATTTTGATTAATTTATTGCTTAAAAATTTATAAACAATTATTTTGTTACTTGTTGCTGACGATACATTAAATTTGGTACTGCAGTGAACACATACTCTATGTTTTTTGGACTATAAGTAAAATGTTTCTTGGACAAACTTATGGTTTTCATATTGTAAAATAAAAATTAACAAAATCTAAAATAACTCCTCTAGAAAAATATCACATAATAAAATATACAAAAAAATTATATTAATTGAATAGTAAAGCAAACTTAAATATTAATAAAAGACCGGTCCGGACCGCATTCAGGACCGTAAAAAATAAAAAATCGGTCCGGTCTCGGTCTAAGACCGATAGGACCGGACTTGACCTTCACTACTGATGTCTCTGATCAAGGTTCTATGTTATGTCTTGGAAACATCGTATGAGCGAACACGGCGCTGCCTCTGAACGAGGTTCTATGTTATGTCTTGATTGTATGAGCGAACATGATGTTGCTACTGATCAAGGTTATTTAAAGATGATGTTAGGCAAGCAGTCGTAAGCCAGTTTCGGTTGGGTAAGACCAGATGCCCACAATAAAATAGAAAAGTCTTAAGATCTACAAAAAATAAATCACGATTCAAAATGTAAGGTAGGAGAATTTAAAGATTCGCAACCGGTTTGAATACAGAACCAAAGTACTTCAGGCTGGCGGAAGGGAATGATTGAGTGAAGATTTAATTATTCATATATTGTTATTGTGCGGATAGAACTATTTGGAAACATGCTAATCATTTGCGAAAACGAGCGGTATTATCGTGACATTATAAATAAAGGAATCTTCATGAAAAAGTAAAAGTCGGAAACAATTGATTCAATGTTAGAAGTTCTAAATTATATGATGCTATGTTCTTCACGGAATCGTAAGATGCCAAAAAGATTAATTAAGAGTGATTTTATTTAGGGAAAAGGTCAAAAACCCCGCTGTTTATAAAAATCACGTCTGTGCGTTATCGATATTTATACCGACGACACACGGCCATTTTTATTCTAATAATTGGCCATCATTACTGCTGTTATAATCGTATAATGTCATCAAAAAGAAAATGCCTAATGAAATAAAGTTGAATTTCTATCTTCACAAAAAGGCCTACATTAAACTTAAAATTAATTTTGTTTATTCTTCCGCTGGATTGACGTTGAATTCAAGAAAATTATCTTTATGTCCGGCAGATTTAAATAAAATTAGTTTTATACGTGATGACTATAAAATTACAAGATTGAATTTGAATTTATAATTAGTTAGTTTTCTTTTCAATAAAGATCTAAAAATTTTTCGATATATCTG